TTTAATTTTTTGTCCTTGTAAGATTTTGGTAGAATGGCCTCACAGAATTAGTTTGGAAGGTTTTCCTCTTTTTCAATTCTATGGAATGATTTGTTAAGATTTGTTATTAGTATTTTAAGAGTTTTGTAATATATAGCAGAGAGGCCATCTGATCTTAGACTTTTCTTTTTGGTAGACTTTTTATCACTTTTTCAAATTCAATGTTTGTTATTGGTTTACTCGGATTTTTTATGTCCTCTTACTTTAGTTTGGCTGATCATATGTTTTCACAAATTTTTCCATTTATTTTTAGATTTAAAAAAATTTTTAGCATACAGTTTTTCAAAATAATCCCTAATGATATTTTGTGTTTCAGTTATATCAATTGCAAATCTCCTTTTTCATTTCTATTTTTATTTGTATTCCCCTTATTCAGATATATAGGTAGATATAGATACAGAAACAGATATAGAGATACATCCTTCTCTCTCCTCTCTCTCTCAATCTCTCTTGACCTAGCTAAAGATTTGTCAAAAAAAAGGTTTGCCAATATTTTTATCTTTTTGAAGCACTATTTGTTTTATTTCTTTCTATTTTTTTTTAGTTTCTATCCATTTATTTCTGCTTTGATCTGGTTTTTTACTTCTGTTGTTGAGATGCATTATTAGTTTGTTTATTTGAAATCCTTTTTTAAAAATTATAAACTTCCTTCATAGTAGTGTTTTTACTACATCCCATGGCTTTTGGTATGTTGTGTTTCCATTTTTTTACAACAGAACTTTTAATTTCCCTTCTGACTTTGTGAATGACTCATTATTCAAAAGTGTTGCTCAGCCTCCATTTATTTGTTCATTTAAAAAGTTTTTGTGGTTGTTGAAATCTTGTTCTATTTCATTTGGAAATCAAAAAGATATAGGGTATGATTTCATTTTTAAAAATTTTTGTACTTATTTTGTGGCATAATATATGGTGGTCTATTCTAGGGAAAACTCAATGTGCTGATGAAAAGAATGCATATTCTGCATCTCTCTGTTGAAATGTTATATCTGTTGAGGCCATTTGATCTATAGTGTAGTTTAATCTGATGTTTCTTGTTGAGTATTTGGTCTGGAAGATCTATTCATTGGTGAGAGTAGGATACTGAAATCTCCATGAGTATGGTATTGGAGCCTATCTCTCACTTTAGGACTAATAGTCTTTGCTTTAGAAAATTGAATGCCCCAATTACAATTACAATTCACTATATTACAAGTATATATGCATGTATATATTTTTAGTTGCTGTATCTTGATAAATTGCTCCCTTAATCATTATATAGTGACTTTCTGTTTTTGTTTTAAAGTATATTTTGTCTTTTAATGTAGCTACTGCTACGTGTTTCAGATTTCATTTTCTTTCGACATCATTTTCTATCCTTTCACTTCCAGTCTTTGTCTATTATAATTTAGAACTTAAATGTCCCCCAAAAGTCATGTGTTGGAATCTTAGTTCACAGATGATGGTACTGTTGGGAAGAAGGGGAACCCTTGGAGGTAGGGTTTAGTGGAAGGAAATTAGGCCACTGAGGCATGCTCTTGGAGTGCATACTGGGACCCTAGCACCTTTCTTTTCTCTCTCTGCCTTGCCCCCTCAGTATTCTCTATCCTCCATAAGCTTTCTCACTGTTAAACAGCACACAAAATACCCATAACTTAAAGGAGAAAAGGCTTAGTTTAGCTTATGTCTTAAGGGGATTCAGTCCATGGTCAGGTGGGTCCAAGCAGAAACATCATGGCAAAAGAGCATGGTAAAGCAAAGCCGCTTAGTTTATAATGTCCAGGAAGAAGAGAAAGGGAACAATGCCAGGAAGGAAGGGACTAAGAACAAGATATAGTATTTAAGGTCATACCTCCATGACCCACCCAGACACACCCAGAAGTGTGCTTCTCCAATTCCCTGAGCAGCTCTCAAGACAATCAAGTTGACACAGTCAAGCATATCCATCAGACTCTTTCTTTCCTGGCTTCCACAAAGTGAGCAATTTTGCTCTACCAGGCACTTCCTACTATGATATTCTGCCTAAAGACAAGTTTCGGAAACAAGGAAGCCAATTCATCATGGATTGAAAATATGAGCCAAAATACAACTTTCCTCCTTGTAAATTAATTTTCTAGTACTTTGTTACAGAGATGGAAAGCTAACACAGAAAATTGGTACCAAGAAGTGGTGTCATTGTGGCTTTTAGAGGGTGACATGTGAAGCTTAGGGGTGAAACTGAAGTTGAAGGTTAGAGATCCCAGGAACCTGAACACCTATTAAGTGAAGCTGTAAGCATTAAGTGGAGCTAGCCTGAGAAAGAGAAGCCATGTGGGCCGTAGTCACCAGTGCCATTGTAGAAAGGTTGTCCATGCCCTTTGAAGCTTACATCTCACCACAGTGTGCCACATTATGGCAGAATGAAGTGACAAGATTTAGTGTTTGCCTTTCTGGGTTTCAGTTTGGCTATGGTCTAATTCCTCCTTATTTTCTTATTCCTCCATTTTGGAATGGGAATAGGAATGCTCACCCTTTGCTATTGTATCTAGATGTTTGTAAATTTTGAATTACAGGAGCTTGCAGCTAAGAGCTCATTTTGAATCTCAGAGGAGACTTTGGTCTTGGACATTGGAGCAGTGTTGCAATGGTTAGCATTATGTGGACTCTTAGAGATGGACTGAATGAATTTTGCATTAGGAGATGGACATGAACCTTTGGAGGCCAGAGGTGAAATGTTATGGATTGGATCTTAAATGTCCCCCAAAGACCACATGTCAAAGTCTTAGTCCTAAGCTGATGGTACTGTTGGGAGGTGGAGGAACCTTTAGGAGGTTGAACCTAGGGGAACCTTTGATCATTGAAGAGGATATTTGAGCCCTGACCTCTTTCTCTCTGTTACGGTTTAGCTTCACAGTTGCCATGAAATAAGAAGATCTGCTATGCCACGTGCTTCCTGCTATGGTGGGGTATCTTTCCACAGGCCCAAAGCAAGGGAACAAATAGTCATGGTTTGAAATCTCTGAAACCATAGGCAAAATTAATCTTTCTTTATTTTAAGTTGGTTATATTTTGTCACAGTGATGGAAAGCTAACACAGTCAGTGGCTTTACTGGTGAGGTGAGTTTCTTTTAGGAAGTATAATGTTAGATCTTATTTTCACATTTTTAAAACCAGCCTGTATTTTTAACTCTAATGATTTAGTCCATTTACATTTGAGAGTTATTATTGAAAGGTACATACTTTATGGCTGTCGTTTTGTGGTTTTTCATCTGTTTTTTTCAATATTCTATGTTCATTCCTTTCTTATCTTTGTGGTTTGATGGCTTACTGTATTGATAATCTTTGAATCTTTGTATTTTTCCTTTATATGTATACTTTTCTGGTGGTATTTATACTTACACATGCTATCATGATGATAATTGCATTTCTTTCCTTTCTGGATATAGGACTCCCATAAGCATCTTTTGTAAGACTGGTTTAATGTGATAAATTTCCCTATTGTTTATCTTGGAAGGTACTTATTTTTCCTTTAATTTCTGAAAGATAGCCTTGCTGGGTAGAGTAGTGTTAGTTGACAGTTATTTTCTTTCAGTACTTAAAACATGCTATTCCATTCCCTCCTGGTCTGTGTGGCTTCTGCTGAGAAATCTGCTGTTAGTCTAATGCTTTTTTATGCAATATGGTACTTTCCTCTTGCAGATTTTGAAACTCTTTCTTTGTCTTGTACCTTTGACAAATTAACTTAGTATGTCAAATTGTTTTTTGTCATATATATTTGGGGTTCAATAAACCCCATTGATATCCATTGATATGCATTGATATCCATTCTTTCTGAATATTAGGGATTTTTTTCTATTATTTCATGTAATCAGTTTTGTGTATTCTTACTCTTTATCTTCCTTTTGGGTATGCCAATCATGTAGAAGTTTAAATGTTTAATGGTGTGATAAAGATTATGAATATTCTTTTTATTCTTTTTTTCTGTCTGAATGATTTCAAAAGACCTGTCTTTCAAGTTTTGATATTTTTTATTTGCTTGATCTAATCTATTGTTGAGGCTTTCAAATAAATTTTTCATAAATGTTTTGTTTGTTTTTTCAAAATCTCTATCTCATCACTAATTTTATTATTCACATCTTCCACTGCTTTCCTAATTTCATTTAACTATTTATCTGTATTCTCTTGGATCTCATTGATATTTATAAAAAAATTCTTTTGAATTCTTTCCCAGGCATTTCATCCATTTTGGTATCTTTTGAATCCATTAGTAGAAAGGTATGATCTTTTGAAGATATCATAACTTGTTTTTTTCCCCATATTTCTTCTGTTCCTAAATTCAGATTTGTGTATCTGGTCAAATGTATATTTCTGTCACTTTTATGAGGTAGCCTTCTTAGCAAATTTCTCCTGAAGATGTGTTTTGGGGTATTAGTTTGTTAGGCAATATTAGGGGGCTTTTTCCATTTGGGTATGATAGTGTAATCTCTGTAGTTTATTTGGATATGATTAGTGAGATTAGGTATGGTTTGTTACCATATCAGTGTCAGAGAGACCCCTGCCTCTGCAGTTCATAAGAGAGGGAGCATACTCTAGAAGTTCAGGCAGGTGTGGTGTAAACAGAAAAGTTTTTGGTGCATCCTGTATGACCATGACTGTAGAAGAGTAGTGGGTCCTATCAGGTCATGGACGTTTCTGGAGACACTATTGATATTGGCTGTGCTACTTGTAAGGATCCTGGGCTGTCACTGGTTGCACCAGTAGTGGTTTTACTTTGATTACAGAGAGGTGCCAGAACAGATGTTTCATGGGAAAAGTTTCAGCAAGAATCATATCTTCTCTAAGGTAATCATACCCAGTATTTTCAATAATGCTTGATAAAACAAGTTGCAAGCAACAGTGGGGATCCATGTAGACAAGGGGAAGCACCAGTTGTATTCCTCTCTGCTGATATTATGGGCATATTCACCAAGAAACAGAATCTTACCTCCCCATCCCAACCATGCATGCTGAGGAGAGCTTGGTGGTCAGGGTTTTACTTCCTTGGATTCTTCCAGGTGTAGTGTACATCAGGGATCAAACAGGAGTGGGTCACAGCAGGAGATATGGAAAGTTACTCTCAAGCCAAGTGTTCACAGGAGTGAACAAAAGTGGTGTATCACCAGCACCAAGCAAGATTTCTCTACAGACTTTCTTACTTTGTCTGTAGAAGGGGCAGGGTATCAACTGGCACAAGGCATTGCTCAAGACCACCTCAGTAGAATGATAGAGATTTTGTGCTGTCAGTGACAGGTGCCTCTGCTCAGGACTCAGGGGAGGTGTAGCAGGAACCACATAAGTAACTACTTTCAGCCTGGCACTGGCAAGAAACTGCATATGAATGGTTCCATCCCTGATCCCAGAAGGTAAATGTGCCATTTAATCTTGTTCAAATGGATTAAGAGACTCCTTGGGAGATGATTGAGTTGTAAAGGCACTAACCTCATCAACAAGTTAAACAACTGATGAGTTCACAGATGAATGGACTTTTAGGAGGTGAGACCTATTTTATGGAAGTGAGTCCTAGGAATGTGACACTGGGGACCGTATCTGGCCCCTGGCCCCTTCCTCTCTGTTGTTCTTCCCTGATTCTCTTCTTCCTGGGTACCATGAAATGAGCAGCTTTGCACCACTATGCCTTACTGCCATGATGTTTTTGCCTTGATGCCAATTGATGGGCTGACACTGAACCAAAAGAAACCTCTCCTCTTTTTTTTTTTTTTTTTTGGTACCGGGGATTGAACTTGGTACTTTGCTCTTGCGAGGCAAGCAACAGAACCACTGAGCTAAATTCCTGGCCCCAACTGCTCCTCTTTTAAGGTGCAGATGTTAGTTCTTTGGAAAGTCACCAACACAGCAAGCTATTCAATCTTCCAATTTTTTAGGGCAGTGCCCTCCATTCCCCTCTTTATGTCACCACCCTTTCCCTATATTGCAATATTCTCAGTGGGTTTAAGTCAGAGTCACTCTATTGAGACAAGTTTGGTTCAGGAAGTAGCTACTCTTGGAGCCAGTGCACTGGAATTTCTGGTGGGGGAAATTCCATCTGAGAGATGGGAATATGTAGATTTTTCTAACCCCTAGAGAAACCCAAGTCAGTCAATGAGTGCTTTTTGTGATGGCTTCTTGTTACAGAAGGACCCTGGAAGTTTACTGGGATATGACGTGAAATCCTTTTCTAAAGCCAGGCTGCTGTGCAAATTTCAGATTAGTTATCTAGTTTGACTGCAAGCTTCTGAGCTTATGAAACTGTAGTGGCTAGGATTTCCATCATCCATATTGGTAGAGTTTGCTGCTATTCTTTATCTCACACTTTCTTTTCACTTGGCCCTACAGAAGCGATGTGAAGAATGGTCTGCAGGCTCTGGGATATTTTGTTTCTCTTGCTACATATGCTATTGTCCCACTTCTCTGGAATTTACAAGGTTCCATTTTTCTATGTTGATTTCCAGAGTTTTCCTATGCTCACCTAAATGTACAAGTATACACCTGTTGTTTCATTTCTTCCTTGTGGAGAATCAGAGGTGTAATCAGTGCTTCTATTCAGCCTTCTTTCTCCTTCTCTTAAATATTTTGAAAACTTAGGTAAGAGAACCATTCATACTTGTATTTATCACTTTAGGGAGAATGGGAAAATACAAATCTAATACATAAACAAGGAATAAAGTTATAATGTCAGTACATATTCTGAAAATAAAGCCAAAGATATTCTTGACACTTGACAAAGAAAATGTTAGATATGAGTGATGCTATTTAATGCAAGTCTATTATTAAAAAGTTCTGAAAAAACTCTTTACCTGAAGTTGGTTGCATCATACAGTCTGCATGCCCCTGGCTTACCACATTTCAAAGTTCCCCAATGTAAACAGGTAGAGTCCACTAAAGCTCCAAAATATATAGGTGCTGGAATGCCCGCTACAATTAAGACAGTAAGAAAAAAAAATCAAGGTAAGAATGAAGACATTATTTGAAAATATTTCAATTTTCCCCATTTGCATAATGAAATACAAAGTGAATGTTCTAAGTTTTATTTCTTGAAATTATGTTATTTTTACTGTAAGATTTCTAGATTATAAAGGATAGTATGATGAATAAGAGACAACAAAATTATTGGTAGCATAAAATATTGAATTAATGATTCTGAGTCATACATTTTCTGAAATGCTTTGGACCAATTGTGTATATTTTCTTTAGATAATTCATTTCCTGTTCATTTTATTTTAAAATCTTCTAAAAGATGAAAAGTATAATTAAGTTCAGATGGGACTATTTCAAATGAAAAGTATAAATTCTCCATTTCTTTCTATACTTTATTCTCATACTAATTATAAATCACTGTTTAGAAGTAGAAGGGTTATTTGGTAGGTTCTTTTCTGAGAAAATTATTTCATCTATTAAGTATTTAACAGTGCTCTGATATGACATTGGAAAAATAACTACTCATACCAAATATTCTTGTGCAAAATGCATGTACTCCCACGCCAAGAGACTTCTCTTCAGACTTGATGCACCTAAAATAAATTTACAAATAAAAAGCTTAAAATTACTACAATTTCCTAAACTGTTTCTATGCAATAACAAACTCTGAATATTAGAAAATATACTTTCATGTTCAGGCCTTTATTACTCAGGGCCTGATTACCAGCTCGATGCCTACACGGGAGACACATTTCTCTCGTTGGTATTTTACCCATACATTTTTTTCTCAGTCACTTCCCATCGGAAAGTTAACAAAGAAGAAAGTATTTCATATGAATCCTTTTCTCTCTCAGGGTCATCCAGTTCTTGATTCTAATGGTTAAACTTTTGATCTAAAACAAGGTAATGCATTCCTATCTATATTCAAATTATTTGTTTTAATAAAATGTAAGAAATTAGATAACTTATATAGGTAAATGTAAGAAAAAAAGAAAGCAATAATGAAAACCTTCAAAAGAACACAATTTTTAAAAATCACAAAGCAAACCTATTTTAAATGATTTGGTATAATTTCAAGAGTTGCACAGAAATTTCTCTATTCTCTCCAAAAGTTTTCTCATCTTTTCATTGTTTCCTGAAATTCTTCTATGTGGAAAGAAATATGGTAATACTCCAAAGGTGTTTTCAATGTCCTTCCACACAGCTTTGCACCAGCTTGGCTACCTGCTTGAAAGATTCACTTTAAGAACACCCCTGTCCTGTTATTCCTTCCCTGATTAATTCAAACCTGAGAAAATAAAAGCAGGTTTCCTCACAGAAGACTGCCACACATTTTTAGGAGAAACTACATTTTATTGACATTTTTGTGGTAGAGACATTTTACTGGATAGAATAATTCAACATCCTCATAAAGTGAGACATAGTTGATCAGGGGCTGTTTATCTGACAGAGAAGTAATTTAGAGAAAATCAATTTTATTCAGAAGAAAAAAATCCAGCAGACCCAGCATGACTTTCTTGGTCACCTAATTTTCTTTTAATACAGACAATAGGACATTAAAATTTTACTAAAGAATTTTTCTCTCTATTCTTTGTTTAATGTAGTAATTTTGTCATCACACAGAAGAATGGTGATAGCTTCATAAACTATAAGCAGTTTAAGCTGTTCTCCAAGATTTGTCATTACTAGTACTGACAAAACCCCCTAATTGCTAGAACACTGGATTCTGAAAGAAATTTTTTAAAAAGTCCTTTAAAAATAGCAAACAAAGCTGGCCTGGTGACCCATGCCTCAACCCCTGTACTTTCAAAGGCTGAGACAGAGGGCTTGCGATTTCAAGCCTAGCCCAGGGAACTTAGTAAGACCATTTGAAAATAAAAAAGGGCTCAGGTTGTAGCTAAGTGCAAAATCTCTGAGTACATTTCTCAGTTCCAAAAAAAGGGGGGAAGTGTAAACAAATATAGTTGGTGCATCCCTCCAGCATCATGATGTGAGATTCTGTAATAATAGAGAAAAGGCTTAGATATGTGTATAAAAATTCCACAAGTTAAACTATATCGTATGACCTTGGCAATAGTGGGGGAAGGGAGTAGAGACATAAAACTGAAAGCATGAATAAGTACTTATTTTATTTTATCATAACTGCCGAACTGCAACATAACTTCCATACAGTGGCCCTATTCTGGTAAAGGCCCTGGCTGATCTCCCCTACAATGACCCTTCTCAGCTTAAAACAAGCAGATTAAAACTTCACCCATTCTCCCTTAACCACAGCTAGAGATAACTCTTCAGAAGAGAAAATATGATAGGCAGCTAAGTTAGAAAAAAATTAATAAGCAAGGGTCAGGGATTTAGCTCAGTGGTTCTGCTGCTTGGCTTGTAAGCACAAGGTCCTGAGTTCGATCCCTGATACCAAAAAAAATAAAAATAAAAATAAAAAAATTAATAGGCAGTCAGACAGGGACAAACCCTCAAGAGTCAATATGAAGGATAAACACACACCAAAATTATGTCTAGAGGCACATCTATTAAAAACCAAGCCTCGGTGCAAGGACCCAAGTTTCCCCAGTACCAAAAAAAATAAAACAAACCAGGCCTCCGGATAAAGATATAATGACCAGGCCTACAGGCCTCCTCCAGTAAAGTCCAGATAGACATCAGTCAACCAGCTGGGTGACCAAAACATCCCAATCCAGTCTCCTAGGTGAATGACCAGAACATTCAAACCCATTCCTTCCCCAATATCCTTTTGTTCTTTCCATGCACCCTTGCTACCTGACTCACTTTCCTATTAGAACAATATTAACTAAATGGCTATACATATAATCCTATAGGTTAATTATAGTTTGACCCATATTACACTCACATTGTGATATGGCTATATAAATTACCCCCAACCAAAGGCCTTGGTGACAACACACTTTTGAGATCCCACCTGTCACTCAAAAGTTATGTCTCAATTCAACTTTCCTATGCTTAACCTCCTTTGTCCTTTAAAGTCATTCTTTTGTTTTAAAAACACAAACTTGAAAGTTGTATTTCACTTATATCAGTGGGAATCTTCATTTTATCACCAGTCAGTCAGAAGACCGGGTGGCTGAGACTTGCAACCTACATCTAACATAAGGGCAGTCTGTAGAACTGGGCCATTTGAAGTTTGGGATGTGAGGCTAAATCTAGGTAGACAGTATCTGCATTGAAGGGAACTGTAGGATACCTAGCTAGTGTCAGAGAGTTGCTCAAGGTGGGGGAAAAAAACCCCAAAGACAAACATGTCCGATCTCAGAAGGGTTCTCTGAGAGTAAAGAAACTTTTTCTTAGAGCAAAGATGTATGCATACACATGTAATATATATCAAGGAAGCAATCTAATGACACTTGACCTTTACAAAAAGGCTTTCAAAATTCTCTTCAAGGATATAAAAGAAAATTTAAATAACTGGAATATAACATGTTCACAAATATTTTATGTCTGTTTTTTTCCCAACTGATCTATGGAACCAACTGAAACCAAATAAAAATTTACATGTAAGTATAAAGATACATAAATAGATAAACAAATTTTGGAAAAAGAGTTTATAGTAGAGTAAATATGACAAGGTGAGTAGGTGAGGGAGAGTTATCATATGAGATTTTAACATTTGTATTTTCAAGACATTTAAGTCAATGTGTCATTGGTTTGATAATAGACAAATCTGTGGAACAGAAAAAGAATGAAAAATAGAGCCATATTGTATATAACTTCAGATATGATAAAGGTGGTAGGTACCACAAGTCAGTGGAGAAAGAACCTGTAATTTAGGCTATTCCAATATCTATTATCTGATAGCTGCTGAACAACACTAGATATCTAGCTCTTCTTTGTACCACATATAGACTTGAAATGGTTTAAAGAGGTAAATAGTAAAATTGTAAAGCTGTTAGGATAAAATTTAAGGTTATATTTTTAGAAATTAAAAATCGGGAAACGCCTTTTAAATGTGACCCCCTAACCACAAATGCATAAGTACAATTGTTTGGATTTCATTTCATAAATGGTGCAGCAGAAAAATTAAAAGAAATATAACAGATTAGAAGATAATTATATCATGCATATGACATCTATCATTTACAAATAACCATCCAAATTAGTAAGGAAAAGATAAATACAGAAAAAATGTGAAAAAAGTGAATAAGAATCTTAAAGCAGAAGTCTCAATAGCTAAAAAAATAAAACTCAGAGAGAAGCTTACTTTTACTACATATCAAACATAAAAACATCCATAAGCCACCATTCCATACTAATTAGAATAGGCAACATCAGAAAGTTAGATAATTCCAAGTGTTAAAGAGGCTATAAGGAAAGGGAAACACTTGTGTAGTGGTATGAAATCAACTCTTAGGTACTGTCACTACTTGGTGACTTTATCTATTCATGTACCTTAGGAACCAGAACAAGGCTTATAGCACACCTCCATTTGTGTGGATATAAAAACATATAAATACAACATTTTAACATTTTATAAATGAGTCTCTTCTTGTCCTAAACAACAAGAAGTTCACTCATTCTGCTCAAAAAATAAAGAAAATGGGGAAGGATATAGAAGGAAATGTCCTTCATATTTAAATATCTTACTTTAGTATTATGTAAAATTTGATGTTTAATGCAAAACCTTGAATAAATGGCATATTTGAGCACTGAGTTCTTAGATACCCAGAGTTCCAAGTGGCTCTTTTTTAAGGAAAAAGTTACATTACCAAATGACCAGAAAGAAATCTAAATAAAGGAAATGATAATTTTACCTCAGGAGAACCATATAACCAGGAATGGCCGCTAAAGAATAAATGAAACTGCAAACTGTTGACAAGATTAAGAAGTACTGGAGCATCAAGGAACAGTCATAGCCTTTGTAGCACAACCCGAGCACTGCAGATGCATTTCCTGATGTTTGAATGCAGCTACAGTTTTGAAACACCTGTTTAAAAAAGTAATGAATTACTCTATTTAAGCTGGAAAAAAAATTTGAACACAAAATGAAAGTGTTTTGCACATAGCCAGTTGGATCAAGAAGGAGGTTTCTGGGGCTGGGGTATAGCTCGGTGATAGAGCACTTGCCTAGCATGTGTGAGGCCCTAGGTTTGATTCCCAACACCTCCACTCCAAACACACACACACACACACACACACACACACACACACATGATGGGAGGCTGCCTGTTCCTTTGTTCTCATGTCCTTTATAGTGTATCTCAGGGTTATACTATAAAACAAAGAATAGGAGAGTAATTCCAAAAGTCTAGATTTTTTTTCTAAATGCATATGAAATAAATCTGCACTAACTTAGTTCTTCTAAACATATTTAAAAAAAATAATGCTTTATAACAACACTATAAAAAGCTATCTGTTTCAGAGTACTCAGTTCTAATACGAAGATGTTTACAAATAAAAAATCTTTGTCGATCCTTTAAAAATTATGCAATGTATGTAAATAATTTTATGTAGGACTTATTAAGAATCAAAACTTATATTCAACTTTGACTATCAACCAACTTTATATTTTACTTTGAAAAACAAACAACTTTATAGGTATTGAGACATTTCTGAGGCAACAATGTATGCCTAACCATGTCTTGTTAAAAAACTATCGCAATGTGAAAAACAGCCTATAGACACATATTCATAGAAAAAATACAGGAATTAATTGGATAACTGAGATCAAAATTTCCAACTTAATGTTGAAGATAAAAAGTGTTCCTGTTTAGGGTATTTTAACCTATATCATTTGAGGAAAATATTAAACTGCTTGGAAATTACAAACCAGTGCTCAGATAGAGGAAATAAAAGGTAATAAAGTATTTATATAGAAAATAATTTAAGTTGTCCACAAACAAATTAATCTGGTTTTCAGAAAGAATAATTTTACTTTTAGCAAATGTAGGCAGTTTATAGTCAGAAATTGCTTTTGCAGTGCGTAAAAGTTCTTGAGGCCATACTCTTAAGTGAAATAAATTTACACACGTGTAAATACCAAATAGTTTCTCTGGTATGAGAAACTGAAGGTGTAAATAGGGATCAAAATGTATAACAGATATTGTGAAATAGGAAGAAAAGGGGCAAAGGGGAAGGGGAAGTGGGAGAGGTAGGGGAAAGGAAAGAAGGGAATGGAATTAATATGAGAAAAGGAAACAATGAAAACAAAGTCTGTGTAAATAGGGAGGGATGGAGGGGTTGAAGGGAGGGCAGGGACGTGGGGAAAAAATAAGAACCAAGATATATCATGTAAAGGTACAAATTCCCAATGATGAATGTCATCATATTGTATACCTAAAATGTACCGATAAAATTAATGAAAAAACAGAGTTCTGTTCAAAAAGGCTACCAGGATGTTACCATGCTCAGTCCAGTTCCAACAGATGTTTCACAACCAGCAAGGCAAGCTGACATATACGATAAATCATTGTCTCCACACACAGGATCCCATATTTTAGTTGGACAGTTGCAACCTTTATTGCAGTCAGCAAGGACCTTATTTCCCACATATAACTCTTGTTGAATTCTGAAATGATTTAAAATAATACCATGAAGATTAAAAGAGTATTCAAGCATGATTTTTCCCCATTTTTCATCACAATCTCCAGTTACATTCCTCTCTTTCCCAAAAACAGAAATAGAAATCACCTAACCATCAATGTAGCCTACATAGTACGTAGTTCAGGCATAAAAATTGCTTGCTTCAGGGATCATAGAACCACTTTTTCAATAATTTATTTCAGAAAATATACTGTCAATAAACAAATGTAATTATATACCTACTGTGTGGGAAGAATTTTTCTAGGTAATATTAGAAATGAAAAATGAAGAAGACCTAATCTCTGTGGTTGGCTCATATGGTGGAAAGCAACAAGGGAGATGTAACTTTGAGATCAAAATCTGTGAGTTCCATTCATAACGTAGAAAATGCATTTAGTGCCAGAAACACTAGCCAGAATATCTACTTGAGTGAATAAACACATTCTTCTAGTAAAGAAAGTATCCAGCACTTGTAATGATTGAAAGAGCCAAATATGGGAGTCCAGACTAAATTCAAATCCTAACTCTGAGATGGACATAATCTTTAAGAAATTTTAAATATTCATTTTTGTTGGTATTGTTTGTGGTACTGGGGATTGAACTCAGGGGCTTTGCACTGAGCCACATATCCAGGTCTTTTTCATATTCATTTTTTATTTTAAGACATCTCACTAGGTTGCTAAGTTGCATAGGGTGGGGTTGAAATCCTCCTATCTCAACCTCCCAGAGTACAGAAGGATTACAGGCATGTGCCACCATGACCAGCTAAAAGCCACATATAGAAGCCACATATGTGGTAGAAGAGGTTTCCCATTAACTTCTTTTGTCACTGAACCCCTGAGAAGTTTGATTTCTTCCTATAAAATGAAAATAATAATACCTGTCTTAAATGGAGTGTGCCAGACTCATATCAGATAATGTATATAAAATTACTCTATGATTTTACATTTGAAGTGATTCCATCTTATAAATTTTAGGGTTTTATTTCGTTTAACTGATGGTTATCTAAATATGCCCTAAAGTGAGCTTTTAAAATTCCATATCACTGTAGAAAAATCTTTCTATAAACCCAGATAGTCCTCAAGTCTAAAATTAAAATCTAAATATAAAAGTATTCAATACTTTAGATGTAGCTATATAAGTAAAATACATAAATTTGCATACTAATTAATTTTATATATTAGCATCCAATTATGCTAAATTTAAGCCCACTGTGGATACATATAGAGCCTCTGTAGACTGTATAGTCAATTCTTAGTTTTATCTCCTGATGGGAATGTAAAATATATGGATAATATATCCTAATACAAGCTAAAACTATAGGGAATTTTCTTTATGTACATTTTGATGTCCACCAGGACATCACATTGACAACCACACGCATAACACACATAGCACTCATAAATTCACTCACTCTCTGATATGTTCCCAACCTCTTTAATAAGCCTATGGACTGTATAGATTAGTATATGAGTGACAGGGGCAAGGAAGATATAGGACAACCATGGTTTCACTGCCATTGACTCCTAAGCAAATGATCTGGTCATGCACAGCACTGGAGAAAATGTATTAGTAATTAGTTCTTGAAAGAATATACCATTCATTAGAAATCAACATACCCTTCATAAGAAGTAGTTATGCCAGCAACTGGAGAATTATCACAGGTCATGAGAAAAGATAAAAAATAGAGAAGGTACTCAAATATGGATAACCAAAATGCTATGTGGGCAGCTTGCTTTACAGTAATCTTGAACTTCTTCATAATTAAGCCACCAACTATATATCCAATGCATATTGGAGGTAAATTATAAATACCTAAAATGCAAATAAAATATTACTTACAAAGCAACAACAAAGGAACAAATACGTTATAACTTTTGTCTAAAATATCTTCTTTCAGAAAGTCTTTTTTCCTTCTTTAAGAAAGTAAGTCTAGCTTGCATTGACTTTAACCCCACGTAGTTACTCATGACATCCAGGGAGATTCTGAAATGATGCATAATGTCAAAGTATATTCTAAAAGACTGTTTTTTCTTTTAGGCAAGGATCAATCTCTTTTCTTAGGATGTAGATAGAAGTACCAAGTCAAAGTTAATGAGTAAGTCATTAATTTCTATCCTATCACAAATATATATGATATTTTGGCTATTTATTCCCATTCTGGTTATTAAGAATTTGACTCAACTTTAAAAGATCACTTTGCTGAGTCTCTAGCTGTCTAGCATAGTTACAATTTGTATCCTGCTTCTACTGACCAGTACACTTATTCTCAACAATCCTCACTCATAATAAATGGGAAAAAAAGAAAAGAAAGGGAAAGGTAGCCCTTGGTGTCATTCATACAATGCTAATATCTGGCTCACTGAATCATATTCCTGGAGGAGCTTGTTACCCATCCATTCTAGACTCTCATACGATTGTGTCTGATTTATTGTGTCTGAGATGGGGGACTCATATTAAAAATTTTCATAGCATCCTAGGTAATATAGGTGTAGGTAACTTTGGATAGACATTTTTCAAGAGTAAAAATATCCTAGGAAAAACCCAAGGAAGGGTACAATGATTAGGGTTACTGTAACAATAGGTAAAGCAGACTGTCTGTGGCTGCAGAGACACCTAAGGGAGACCATGGAATGAAATTAGGAGGAACGCAGATTTCATGAACTGAAGCCAAGAATAAAATCAGAGTAAAATGTTGAACCTTAATAATTTAATTCTGCATTCCTTTTTAAATTAAGGGATTGCTTCTTTAATGATTGATAATATTTGCATTCCCTAAGATTCCCATAAATATTATGAATTTGCACTCTGGAGAGAGAGCAGAAGAGAGAAGAAAGGATATTTCTGGCCTTTTACCTTCCATACTCTTTCTTGATTTTCTTAAAGAGTATAAAAAGGAAATTTATCAGAGAAAGAAATATCCTAAAACGCTTCAACTTAGGAGATTTATAGTCCCACCATCATGTTGTTCACCATGTCATGGGAGGCAAAGAAAGTCAGCTACTAAAGCAGAGAAAAACAAACATACCAATGAGAAAGATTGCTTCTGCTGTTGATTTTCCATACTGCTGTTCCAGATATTTAGGCATGAAGGAGAACATATTAATAAATGCATTGAACTGCAGCACACTTATAAGTATGAAAAGCATGTAAATTGGATTGCACGACAGACTTTTCATGAATGGTAAAAAATCTGAAATAAAAGGACAACACCATCAAACTATTTTGGCTTTGCATTTTGTGACTGGTGTTTTCCTAAATCATCAAACTCTCTCCTGGATTGTTTTAAAAGATACATATGTTTGTTAATTCTTTTTACTGCTGAGAAGCTAAAGTTATACATCATTGTTTTCATAGCTTCTGAAAGTCAGTGGTGCAACTGGCTGGATAAGAATTAGAACACTATCGTTTTGCCTTTAATACATCACTACAGTGCATTTCGTTTTAAATCAAAACTGAAAAGACACTGAAACAGCGCCTCTTCCCACAGCGTTTATGTTTTATCCTTCCCTTTTTTCCTTCTAGCAAAATTCTCTCTTCCCTAGAGCCAAGCTAGAATGAAAGACACTTGTGCTGCTTTCTAAAGTTTGGGAGGAAATCACTTTCATAAAGAGATACACATTAAAATACTGATATTATCAACTTGAACATAAAAAATGAAGATATATGTGGGTATGGATGGTATAAAAATTTGCCCAAGTATAATTTTTCTGCTTCTCAAGAAACATTTCAGTGGCTCTGCCAGTGGTGTAAAACAAAATGTACATTAGAACCCCATAGAGATATTTTTTAAAACCCCAACCTACAGGTCTCACTCCCAGAGTGGCTGAGCCATCCACTTGGTATATACTAAGGACAATGTAAATGACTTAACAAAATTTTTTCCCTCTTTCAAAAGGCTCAGAGCAAATGTGTGTCTTTCTTTAATAAATGAGTTGAGTCACACTGCAACGTTTGGCTCAAATTCTCATTTTTAATTTCTTTTCACTTTTCCTATCATAATGATCTCTGTCTTGATATACTTATTTGTACTATCCTCATTTGCTAATAAATAGCCTAAAATCCATTCAAGAATAAGGTATCAGTAAATAAACCATCGGTAAGGGAGAAGGACAATTTCATTCAAAGAATGAATTCTAGGGATAGAACTCATATTTCGGAGTCAGGTACATAGTAGAGGTGAGATTACATAGATTTTCAAAGTACTCTTATTTGTTGATATCTTTGCCCTAATAGATGAGACTCAGTAGTTCAAATTTATTTTTCATATGTTTTATACTATGCTAAACTTTTTCATAGTTTTAAAGTTGAAATAAAATCACAGACCACAATGTTATGTGTTCATGTCCTTTATCAGTGCATATTAGCTCTTTGAGAAGTATTTTTTATTCTAAATTATTTTTATTGGTACATTTTAGGTATACAATATAATGACATTTATCTTTGGAAATTTGCACCTTTACATAATCTCTCTTGTTTCTTATGTTTTCCCCATTCCCTTGCCCTCCCTTCAACCCCTCCATCCCTCCCTATTTACATAGACTTTATTTCCATTTTTTCCTTTTCTCATATTAATTCCATTCCCTTCTTTCTTCTCCCCTACCCCTCCCATTTCTCCTTCCCATTTATCCCTTTTCTTCCTATTTCACATTATCTATTATATCTTTTAGTCCTTATTTATACTTTCAGCTTCTCACACTAGAGAATCAATTCAGTATTTACACATGTGTGTCCTATTTATTTCACTTAAGAGTATCGCCTCAATGTGCATCAATTTAACTATAAATATCTCTAGTTTCTCATTCTTTATGGCTGAGTAGTACTCCATTTTATATATATAAAAAAACCCACATCTTTATCCAGTCTCCAGTTGACGGGAAATTGGGCTGCTTCCAAGGTTTAGCTATTACAAACTGTGCTGCTATGAACATGGGTGCACATATATCACTGTGGTATGATTCT